TCAACTACTTAACAAACAGCACCTTAACATCTTGTTTCTCACACTATTAACAGTCATTCAACTACTTAACAAACAGCACCTTAACATCTTGTTTCTCACACTATTAACAGTCATTCAACTACTTAACAAACAGCACCTTAACATCTTGTTTCTCACACTATTAACAGTCATTCAACTACTTAAGAAACAGAACTTAACATCTCAAACACTTACTTCATTTCATATCAGTGGTACACAGGGATGGACTAGACTGTAAAATTCTACCAGGAAGAGAACTAGAGGGGGCCATAAATTTGTCATAAACATAACAAAAATACATACTTAATAAGTAAGTGTAATTTAATGTTAAAATACTAATCATATGTAGTTCACATGTTCTGTAATTTTAAAAACACAGAGGAGCCCTTCACAATATATGAGATAACATCTTCAACACAAGTAAATCCTTTTCAATGTTCATCATTCTTGGTCGAATTAACACACATGTTAACTTGAACGTTGATGTGATGACAATAAACAAACAATTATTTCTCTATTGTGCTGACAGAATATTCATCTATTTTTTATGTATCTTTCTAAGGGGACCCACCAGAATTTTTCCCAGTGTCCAGATGAGCGACCAGTCTGCGTCTGGTGGTACATCAGTCTGATTTAATTTTTTCACTCATAATAAATTTTGAAAAAACCTCAGCAAATTATGCTACATTTTTGGTGAGGAAAACTTTACTTTAAGAACAACTGGTCAGATCATAAAGCCTGCTTTTGTCATGCATCTGGACAGTGAAGTCCAGAGTAGAAAATGTAAGGAGCAGCTTTTACCAAAAGTGACACTTTGTGATGCATTATATTTCAACATTCCCGATGTTGTGAAAACATTTTTCGTGTTTTAATGCACATTTGGCTTATTTATTACATCTAAATCCCAGTTACTTACCCAGCCACGAATGTCTGAGAGTGTAGACTCTGTCCTCTGGATTTGGAACCAGATAAGGCCACAAACCAATCCAAGGCCTACAGTCTGAACCCAATTAAGTTTGGACAACATACGGCTTCGGGCTTCAATGAAATTTCTCTGAGTGAGAACTTTTAGTTGTGTTGAAAAAGATGTTGGCCATTTTTCTTCTTCCTGCAGATCATCTTGACTACTGAACTTACAGCTGGTTACTTCAGAACATGACGACCTGCCTGAATCAGAATCTTCCTGAGATGCTGTAGAATAATGTATGAAAGTTACAATGCATATCAAGTCTTTAACAGCACGAATGACAGTCTGATAAGTCAGCACAAGTGACAGTCGGATAAGTCAGCACAAGTTACAGTCGGATAAGTCAGCATGAGTGACAGATGGAAAAAGTCAGCACGGGTGACAGTCTGATAAGTCAGCACGAGTGACAGTCTTATAAGTCAGCACAAGTGACAGTCGGATAAGTCAGCATGAGTGACAGTCGGATAAGTCAGCATGAGTGACAGTCAGATAAGTCAGCACAAGTAACAGTCGGATAAGTCAGCACAAGTGACAGATGGAAAAAGTCAGCACGGGTGACAGTCTGATAAGTAAGCACGAGTGACAGTCTGATAAGTAAGCACGAGTGACAGTCTGATAAGTAAGCATGAATGACAGTCTGATAAGTCAGCAAGAGTGACAGTCTGATAAGTCAAATAAACTGTTCACAGTGATGAGAAAATTACACAAAAACTTATCCTAACAGGAGTTTCATTTATCTGTTCCAGAAGTTTTGAATCACAGTTCTTCCTTGACAAATATTCATAATGCTAGGCCATGTTACAAGTTATAAGAAATTACACTTCAAATAGCTGTTTACAAAGACATCTCACCTAATTTATGATAAACAGTTTGCAACTTTCTGTCTTCATCAATCACGACCCTCAGCTCCACTGGTCTGGCCTGGTTGTGTTTGCATGGAGGAGCTATGTTCCACATGTAGGTAGGATGAGAAGTTTCCTTGATGCTCCTGGGATTATGTTGTGATGGCTCACTAGGAAAAGGAAACAATAAACATATTACATTATTTTTATTACTAAAAACTAGATGTTGATTAGAAACTATTATGAAGATCGATTTGTAGGGTTTCACACCTTAAAAAATATAATTATTCATGACATCTGCATTTTATTTGACCTTTGTTTACTGGACGTTCGTGCATAAATCAGATACCTAAACTAATAAATATTCCATTTTTGCAGGGAAGAGTTTAGCGTTAATTCCGACAGATGGCACTAATAACTACTTACCAGTGTGAAACGTTTTCCCATATCTGCTTATTACATTTTGGACATTCTAAAGTAGACACTGGTGTGTTAGTTGTTTCATCTTCTTTCCTTGTTAAGCGTATCCTTTCATTGGAAAACCTTAGGTTCTTCCTGTAAAACATGCAGCTAGTCAGCTCATGTTCAATACTTTTTTAGTAACTTCTAATGAATCAGAGTGAGACAGTAAAAATGCTTTATTTACAACAGTTTTAGAGAAAAATTTAGATTTAATATCAATTTGTTAAAGAATGAAGACACAATACATTGTGTGTCATTCAGGGTAAACTTTAAAGTTGAAAATTATATGAAAACACCATTTAAAAGAAAACAGTTCTTATAACGTTTCAAGCAGACAGTTTTAGTTAGGTAGTTGCAATGTTATGTTTTGGCAACTTACAAACTGTAAATAACTCACACTTACCCAATACAAAGATGACCATTTTTACAAAGATGACCTTAGCAAATGGCTGATTAACAAAGATGACTCTGGCAAAAGGCTGATTTTACAAAAATGACCCTAGCAAGCAATAGATTTTACAAAGTGGTTGACGTTCAAAACCAAGTTGACACTCCCGAGAAAAAACTTACCCAGTTTCACAAGCTGCTGCAATTATTTTTTCTTGAACCTCTGGACCCTTTTTAACTTGCTCCACTGAAATATAAGATAATGTGCATCAAAACTCCCACCTTCTAACATTAGAATCTTCAAGCTTTACATCTGTGAAAGTTGATTTTATAAAAGTCTATTAAAGTCAACAGTCTTATAAGGAGTTGATACCTGTAGACCAGTACCAATGAAGTAATGTAACACTATTGTAGTCAGTGGGGTTATAAGGAGTTGATACCTGTAGACCAGTACCAATGAAGTAATGTAACACTATTGTAGTCAGTGGGGTTATAAGGAGTTGATACCTGTAGACCAGTACCAATGAAGTAACATAACATTTACTATTAAAGTCAACAGGCTTATAAGGAGTTGATACCTGTAGACAAAATTAATGCTCGTATAGCTCTGACATGTTCCTTTGTTTGACTAACTTCTACTTTTAATAAATAGGTGTAAGTTAATTAATGCTCGTATAACTCTGACCTGTTTCTTTGTTTGACTAACTTCTACTATTAACAAATAGGTGTAAGTTAATTAATGCTCGTATAACTTTGAAATGTTCCTTTGACTAACAAAGTGTATTGCTTTCAATATTTTAAAAAATAACATGTAGCCTCATTCATTGGCACAAAAAATAATACAATTGAAAGTGTTTTAAAAGCAGTCAAACTAATTTTTCATTTTTTGTTCTAATTTAAAGCTGCACGTTTACGAGAAACTTGTGTTTTATTTTAGGGAATTTACAGTTTCTAAATTTGTGAACTTTGTGTCCAAACTTACAGATAATTTGTTTTTTAGTAATTGATAAACAAGCAAATGTTTGATCATATTTTCACTCAGTATTTGTGTTTCAGCTAGCATACTTTGGTGAAACAAACCAGGTTGTGGACTTCTTCAGTGGTATTGGTCTACGGATATCACCTCATTATAATCCTGCTGACTTCATTAGTAAGTGTTACATTAATTCAGTGGTATTAGATTTCACATATCACCTCATTATAATCCTGCTGACTTCATTAGCAAGTGTTACATTAATTCAGTGGTATTAGATTTCACATATCACCTCATTATAACCCTGTTGACTTTGTTAGTAAGTGTAACATAATTTCATTATAACCTTGCATTAATAGCAAGTGTTACATTACTTCATTGGTACTGGTCTACAGGTATCAACTCCTTATAACCCTGTTGACTTTGTTAGTAAGTGTTACATTACTTCATTGGTACTGGTCTTCAGGTATCAACTCCTTATAAGCCTGTGGACTTCAGTAGTAAGTGTTATGTTACTTCATTGGTACCTACTTTTAACAAATAGGTGTAAGTTGATGTAAGTTAATTAATGCTTATATTACTCTGACATGTTCCTTTGTTTGATTAACTTCTACTTTTAATAAATAGGTGTAAGTTAATTAATGCTCGTATAACTGACATGTTCCTTTGTTTGATTAACTTCTACTTTAATAAATAGGTGTAAGTTAATTAATGCTCGTATAACTGACATGTTCCTTTGTTTGATTAACTTCTACTTTTAATAAATAGGTGTAAGTTAATTAATGCTTATATTACTCTGACATGTTCCTTTGTTTGATTAACTTCTACTTTTAATAAATAGGTGTAAGTTAATTAATGCTCGTATAACTGACATGTTCCTTTGTTTGATTAACTTTATTTGTTAAAAGTAGAAGTTAGTCAAACAAAGGAACAGGTGTAAGTTAATTAATGCTCGTATAGCTCTGACACTTATACCTGTCCATTATATTTACAAATAAGAAGTAACAGGTCAAACAAAGGAACAGGTCAGAATTTTAGATGTACTGACTAAGTTTTACCTGTCCATTACAAAGCAGAAGTAACCGGTCAAACATGTGAAAAATCTGACTGGAAGGTTGGTGGACAGTGATTACGACTGTCTTGTTTTCTTTTTCAGCATAGTTCTTTAATGTGGTCATGAGAGAGAAAGCTGTGCTGGAGTCTAACCCTGATGTGGGCTCCTGAAATACAGAACATAAGAAGTCGTCGGATCTTTTCCAAACAATTTCTAAGATGCCATGCTGACAGTTCTTACTTTATGACTCACATTTCTTAGCTTCAAAGTAGAAAAAAAAAATCCAAAAAGTGTTTAACCTTCGTTAAATTTGTTGAATGATTTAGTTCCTATAACTTGATCGAGTTATTCCAGATTTGGTCGTTTCTGTAATTAATCGTCTCCTTACATGTACTAAACTAGTTAACTATATTATATTAAATAATTCGTAGAATGTCGGCAGATGGCGACACTCATTACCAAGACTAATTGTTTTTCTTTACATTGGTATTTTTATTTCGATAAAAAAAATTGTGTAAAACATATTCTAATTATACATACATCAAGCAACATTGTGGTGGGGTTGGTTAGGAGCTCGCTGGCGATGTTTGCTCTTTTCTTTTCGCCTCCCGAGAGTCCTCGCCTCATCATGTCTCCGATAACTGAAAAAAATAGGTATAATGAGTCACCAGTTATTAGCAGAGATGTATTTAAAATGTACACCATCTAAAATTGTTATCAGTCAAAAGTTAACTGAAGTTGTGGAAGAAACTGACGTGTCCTAGCGGAAGTAGTAGGCACCTTCTAACGGATATTCGCGCAAAGCTATAACAGGGCTGTCTGCGCAAAGCTATCTTAATTCTTTTACTCGCAGACTAGAGAGACAACATCCACCGCCAACTGTTGAGCTCCTACAATTCTGACCGAATAGCGAGATTTGACCGTGACCCTTATAACGCACCAACAAGCTCAAAGTACGGAGCGGGCCTTTTTTTTTTCAGTAACTAGTGGTAAAATTACTAATTCGTAAGAAATTCAGACTTTTTTCAGTTACAATACTTTATTTAGAAAGTTTTCTTTTGTTGATTTATGTAATGAATTAAGTTCGAAAGAAAACACACTAGCGAAAACAGTAACGAGTAACTTAATGTTTATTTACTCTCTAGGTATATTTTACTTGAATTTAAATACAGAATACGTTATGAATACCATGGAGTGCCCTAACAACATAAAGTCAGGTGAACTAGTCAACAGGCCCGGCATGGCCGGGTGGTTAAGGTGCTCGACTCGCAATCTGAGG